CTATAAAGGGACGGGACGGGATGGGCTATAAAGGGACGGGACGGGATGGGCTATAAAGGGACGGGACGGGATGGGCTATAAAGGGACGGGACGGGATGGGCTATAAAGGGACGGGATGGCCTATAAAGGGCTGGGATGGGATGGCCTATAAAGGGCTGGGATGGGATGGCCTATAAAGGGCTGGGATGGGATGGCCTATAAAGGGCTGGGATGGGATGGCCTATAAAGGGATGGAATGGGGATATAAAGGGATGGAATATAAAGGGATGGAATGGGGATATAAAGGGATGGAATATAAAGGGATGGAATGGGGATATAAAGGGATGGGATATAAAGGGATGGGATATAAAGGGATGGGATATAAAGGGATGGGATATAAAGGGATGGGATATAAAGGGATGGGATATAAAGGGATGGGATATAAAGGGATGGGATGGGATATAAAGGGATGGGATGGGATATAAAGGGATGGGATGGGATATAAAGGGATGGGATGGGATATAAAGGGATGGGATGGGATATAAAAGGATGGAATGGGGCTATAAAGGGATGGGATGGGGCTATAAAGGGATGGGCTATAAAGGGATGGAATGGGGCTATAAAGGGATGGGCTATAAAGGGATGGGCTATAAAGGGATGGGCTATAAAGGGATGGGCTATAAAGGGATGGGCTATAAAGGGATGGGCTATAAAGGGATGGGCTATAAAGGAATGGGATGGGCTATAAAGGGATGGGATGGGCTATAAAGGGATGGGATGGGCTATAAAGGGATGGGATGGGCTATAAAGGGATGGGATGGGCTATAAAGGGATGGAATGGAATGGGATATAAAGGGATGGAATGGAATGGGATATAAAGGGATGGAATGGAATGGGATATAAAGGGATGGGATGGGCTATAAAGGGATGGAATGGGCTATAAAGGGATGGAATGGGCTATAAAGGGATGGAATGGGATACAAAGGGATGGGATGGGGATACAAAGGGATGGGATGGGGATATAAAGGGATGGGATGGGGATATAAAGGGATGGGATGACTATCTCTCCAAACCTTAGCTCAAATCTCCAGCCAAGCCATCAACTTCCCCCCTTCCGGCGCGCTGTGATGACGTCAGCGCAGAGGCGGGGTATTATAGAGCATAGGGAGCGCGAGATCCGAAAGTACCAGCTGTGATTGGCTGAGCTCCCGAGCGCGAGCCCGTCAGAAGAAGAGCGCATGCGTAGTATCTAAACCTGCTGCGGGATGTTTTCGCGTCCCGGAAGTGACGAATCCCCAAGCTTTCTGACGGGCCCAGGATTTTGACAGAACATCAGGTGTTCTATCAGTCTGGTATACTCCGTCAGATTGCTATACCCACGTCACTTCCGGGGAGGGGAATCAGCTGTCTCCTGTGCTGCACATGCGTGCTAGCACTCCTGCTACTTCTCCACAGCAAGGTCCTGGAAGTTAAGTAAAACTAGTTTTACACTTTCATTATAGTTAGTGCATTCACTAAGCTTAGGCACACGGGACATTTAGGGTTAAGTGAGGGTACAAATTAGGGTTAGGTAAGTGCTTCTAACCTCTCTCACATTCTATTCTTACCCTAACCCTTGGGGTAAGGGTTAAAATAAAGTGTGAGAAATCACTATTTAGTGATATTCCCCTAATGTGAAATATCACTAAATAGGAACAAGTCCCTAATCCTAACCCTAATTTGAACCCTAACGTTAACCCTAAATGTCCCATGTCCTGAGCTTAGTGAATGCACTAACTATAATGAAAGTGTAAAACTAGTTTTACTTACCTTCCAGGACCTTGCTGTGGAGGAGTAGCAGGAGTGCTAGCACGCATGTGCAGCACAGGAGACAGCTGATTCCCCTCCCCGGAAGTGACGTGGGTATAGCAATCTGACGGGGTATACCAAACTGATAGAACACCGGGAGCGCGAAAGCAGCTGTTTCAGGTTCTACGCATGCGCACAGGTCCAGGGAAATGAAACAGAGTCGTGGAACGCCTGTTGGAACGCACAGTGGACCACATGCTGGAACGCACGTTGGAACGCAAGATACTGCATGTGAGCAGGTCGGACCGAGTGAGAGGGTTTGTTCTTATGGAATCTGGGGCAGGATATTGATAGAAAGTAACTTTTATTAATTAATGTAAATCAAACAATGTTTAATACAGGAAGCTGAGCTTTGTCTGGAGATAACTCTAATTTAATGGATGTTTATCTCAGGGCTGGGCACCATTCACAGTGCTACTATTATTATTATTTTATTATTTATATAGAGCCATCAGATTCCGTACATTCACAGGGTTATTATTTTATTATTTATATAGCGCCATCAGACTCCGTGCATTCACAGGGTTATTATTATTATTTTATTATTTATATAGCGTAATCAGATTCCGTGCATTCACAGGGTTATTATTATTATTTTATTATTTATATAGCGCCATCAGACTCCATGCATTCACAGGGTTATTATTATTATTTTATTATTTATATAGCGCCATCAGATTCCATGCATTCACAGGGTTATTATTATTATTTTATTATTTATATAGCGTAATCAGATTCCATGCATTCACAGGGTTATTATTATTATTTTATTATTTATATAGCGTAATCAGATTCCGTGCATTCACAGGGTTATTATTATTATTATTATTATTATTATTTATATAACGCCATCAGACTCCGTGCATTCACAGGGTTATTATTATTATTTTATTATTTATATAGCGCCATCAGACTCCATGCATTCACAGGGTTATTATTATTATTTTATTATTTATATAGCATAATCAGATTCCTTGCATTCCCAGCGTTATTATTATTATTTTATTATTTATATAGCACCATCAGATTCCATGCATTCACAGGGTTATTATTATTATTTTATTATTTATATAGCGCCATCAGATTCCATGCATTCACAGGGTTATTATTATTATTTTATTATTTATATAGCGTAATCAGATTCCGTGCATTCACAGGGTTATTATTATTATTATTATTATTATTATTTATATAACGCCATCAGACTCCGTGCATTCACAGGGTTATTATTATTATTTTATTATTTATATAGCGCCATCAGACTCCATGCATTCACAGGGTTATTATTATTATTTTATTATTTATATAGCATAATCAGATTCCTTGCATTCCCAGCGTTATTATTATTATTTTATTATTTATATAGCACCATCAGATTCCGTGCATTCACAGGGTTATTATTATTATTATTTTATTATTTATATAGCGCCATCAGATTCCGTGCATTCACAGGGTTATTATTATTATTTTATTATTTATATAGCGCCATCAGATTCCGTGCATTCACAGGGTTATTATTATTATTTTATTATTTATATAGCGCCATCAGATTCCGTGCATTCACAGGGTTAATATTATTTATTATTTATATAGCGCCATCAGACTCCGTACATTCACAGGGTTATTATTATTTTATTATTTATATAGCGCCATCAGATTCCGTGCATTCACAGGGTTATTATTATTATTTTATTATTTATATAGCGCCATCAGATTCCGTGCATTCACAGGGTTATTATTTTATTATTTATATAGCGCCATCAGATTCCGTGCATTCACAGGGTTATTATTATTATTTTATTATTTATTTAGCGCCATAAGATTCCGTGCATTCACAGGGTGGTTATTATTATTATTATTATTATTTTATTATTTATTTAGCGCCATAAGATTCCGTACATTCACAGGGTTATTATTATTATTTTATTATTTATATAGCGCCATCAGACAGGGTTACTATTATTATTTTATTATTTATTTAGCGCCATAAGATTGCGTGCATTCACAGGGTTATTATTATTATTTTATTATTTATTTAGCGCCATAAGACTCTGTACATTCACAGGGTTATTATTATTATTTTATTATTTATATAGCGCCATCAGATTCCGTGCATTCACAGGGTTATTATTATTATTTTATTATTTATATAGCGCCATCAGATTCCGTGCATTCACAGGGTTATTATTTTATTATTTATATAGCGCCATCAGATTCTGTGCATTCACAGGGTTATTATTATTATTTTATTATTTATTTAGCACCATAAGATTCCGTGCATTCACAGGGTTATTATTATTATTATTTTATTATTTATTTAGCGCCATAAGATTCCGTACATTCACAGGGTTATTATTATTATTTTATTATTTATATAGCGCCATCAGACAGGGTTACTATTATTATTTTATTATTTATTTAGCGCCATAAGATTCCGTGCATTCACAGGGTTATTATTATTATTATTATTATTATTATTATTTTATTATTTATTTAGCGCCATAAGATTCCGTGCATTCACAGGGTTAATATTATTATTTTATTATTTATATAGAGCCATCAGATTCCGTGCATTCACAGGGTTATTATTATTATTATTATTATTATTTATATAGCGCCATCGGATTCCGTACATTCACAGGGTTATTATTATTATTTTTTTATTTATATAGCGCCATCAGATTCCATGCATTCACAGGGTTATTATTATTATTTTATTATTTATATACCGCCATCAGACTCCGTGCATTCACAGGGTTGTTATTATTATTATTATTATTATTATTATTATTATTATTATTATTTATTTAGCGCCATAAGATTCCGTGCATTCACAGGGTTATTATTATTTTATTATTTATATAGCGCCATCAGATTCCGTGCATTCACAGGGTTATTATTATTATTATTATTATTATTTATATAGCGCCATCGGATTCCGTACATTCACAGGGTTATTATTATTATTTTTTTATTTATATAGCGCCATCAGATTCCATGCATTCACAGGGTTATTATTATTATTTTATTATTTATATAGCGCCATCAGACTCCGTGCATTCACAGGGTTATTATTTTATTATTTATATAGCGCCATCAGACTCCGTACATTCACAGGGTTATTATTATTATTTTATTATTTATATAGCACCATCAGACTCTGTACATTCACAGGGTTAATATTATTATTTTATTATTTATATAGCGCCATCAGATTCCGTACATTCACAGGGTTATTATTTTATTATTTATATAGCGCCATCAGATTCCGTGCATTCACAGGGTTATTATTATTATTATTATTTATATAGCGCCATCGGATTCCGTACATTCACAGGGTTATTATTATAATTTTTTTATTTATATAGCGCCATCAGATTCCATGCATTCACAGAGTTATTATTATTATTTTGTTATTTATATAGCGCCATCAGACTCTGTGCATTCACAGGGTTATTATTATTATTATTATTATTATTTTTATTATTTATATAGAGCCATCAGATTCCGTACATTCACAGGGTTATTATTATTTTATTATTTATATAGCGCCATCAGATTCCGTGCATTCACAGGGTTATTATTATTATTATTTATATAGCGCCATCGGATTCCGTACATTCACAGGGTTATTATTATTATTTTATTACTTATATAGCGCCATCAGACTCCGTGCATTCACAGGGTTATTATTATTATTTTATTATTTATATAGCGCCATCAGACTCCGTGCATTCACAGGGTTATTATTATTATTTTATTATTTATATAGCGCCATCAGACTCTGTACATTCACAGGGTTAATATTATTTTATTATTTATATAGCGCCATCAGATTCCGTACATTCACAGGGTTATTATTATTTTATTATTTATATAGCGCCATCAGATTCCATGCATTCACAGGATTATTATTATTATTATTATTATTATTATTTATATAGCGCCATCGGATTCCGTACATTCACAGGGTTATTATTATTATTTTTTTATTTATATAGCGCCATCAGATTCCATGCATTCACAGGGTTATTATTATTATTTTATTATTTATATAGCGCCATCAGACTCCGTGCATTCACAGGGTTATTATTATTATTTTATTATTTATATAGCGCCAACCATCTCTGTACATTCACAGGGTTAATATTATTATTTTATTATTTATATAGCGCCATCAGACTCCGTACATTCACAGGGTTATTATTATTATTTTATTATTTATATAGCGCCATCAGACTCTGTACATTCACAGGGTTATTATTATTATTTTATTATTTATATAGCGCCATCAGACTCCGTACATTCACAGGGTTATTTTTATTATTTTATTATTTATATAGCGCCATCAGACTCCGTACATTCGCAGGGTTATTATTATTATTATTATTTTATTATTTAAATAGTGCCATCAGATTCCGTAGCGCTGTACTATGGGGTTATTCACTGAGGGTAGAATTGTCCCCAATACAAAGTGAACCAGCCAGAGAGAAACACTCCAAAGAAAGAGGACTTTAGAATGTTTGCAGGGCCTTTTATAACTTGGACTGACAGTTGATTGGCTATGTTATGTGATGCCAATGTTCTGTTTTTTGTTTTTCTTCAATTTGCATTCGTTTATTGTATTCTTTGCTTCTAATTAAATCACAGAAAAAGAAATGCATAATAGGAACCTCTTTGTCCTATCAAATTCTAAATTAAACATTCTGTGCGATAAAAAGAAGTTTAAACATTAGATCTCTCTTTACAGGAAGTGTGTAGGAAGAATGTGTCATATGCAAGGAGGTGTGGCTAGGAGCATCATAAACAAAGTGACTTAACTCCTAAATGGCAGATAGCTGAGCAGTGAGACGGCAATGACGCCTTTTCATCGTAACTCTATTAGTTTCCCCTTCTCTTCATTAGTTTTTGTCGCCTAATATTATTATCCACTGTGTCACTTTTACTTCCAGGAATATTTGATGTTGACTGCGAGTGTTGAGTGTGAGTGTTGCTGTATGTAAAGTTATTCCCTTTTATTTGAAGAATAGCTTTCAGTTTTTCACTATGTATAAATGTATTAATCTGATTTATTAATAATAAAGCTTAGTGTTTGTGTCAAACAGTTAATTAAATTATAATTGGGCATAAGGATGTATCTGCTCTTAAAATTATATGGTGGGGTTAAATGTATTGATGTGGGTTGAGCTTACAAAGCCGCCCATGGTGGAGGCAGAATTGAGAAGGATATAAAGGTGCAGCTGGCAGGAAATGGCAGGTGTAAATGTTCATACAGTAAAAATGTACGTTGTTTTTCCCATTCCTTTAAACACGCTAACAGTTAACTGCTTCTCTGTGTTTGTTTGTTTTTAATGATGTGAACTTTGCTTTGCTGTGTAGAGCAGATCGCTTTCTGTACTCGTTCTTTGGGTTGTGCAAGTAAGTTCCAATTTATGTGACAGGCATTGTGTGTCCTGATGATGAATTTTAGAAATGAATGAAATGATGAATTTTAGAAAATTAGACTATCAGCTTGAATGAAGAAATACTCGTATATTAAGTGTAAAAATAAAGTGAGTGGATTTGTATGTTCTTCTCTTTAATGCAGAATGGGTCGTCCAGCATCAAAAAAGACTAAAAAGAAGACTGTGAAAAAAGAAGAAAAAACAAAGGCTTGCGAAGGTGCAGTGTGTCCACCGGACTGGGTGACAGAAGGGAGAATGGCTTATTCAGTAAACTGGACATTGCAGAATAGAGTGTGATTATTCACATTCTAGTCAATGAAAGTAGTTCGGTAGGATAATTAGAATTAAATCTCCTGTTTTAAAGGGTTAGTTTCATGTCTTGCTTTATACTGTGTGTGCTTTATACATTGCCTGTGTTATATGGGGGGAGTGCTAGCACCTTTCTGTATGTAGAACATTACATCCTCAGTGACTGCTTACACAGATAACAGGATTACTGTACTATTGCCAAATACATCACTTGGACTAAAAGGAACCCCCTAAAAAGAAGATTTAAAACAACACTAATGATTTAAAATATTTTATTAATAATGTTAGTGTTCCTCTCCTAGTTTACATTATTGGGCCCCTTGAAAAATCAGACACATTTAAACTCCCCTTTTGTCCAGTACCATCCCTGTCTTGCAGATTAGCCATCCCTGCCATGGGACATACTGATGAGTTCAGTGCTGAGGGATTTGTTTGCCTGTTGTTTTCTCTGTGCAGACATCTTGCCCCCGTCCTCGCTGTATCACTCCTTTACAACGCAGGAGACCGTGGAACTCAGGAAGTGTCTGCTTACATGGTATGATAAATGCAAGAGAAACCTGCCTTGGAGATCTCTGGTAAGAACATGGATATGAAACATATTACAATACTGTACCGCCCAGTAGGACAAACCGCTTTACTATCTATGATATTATTATTATTATTATTATTATTATTATCCATTTGTGTTTTATTATGAGCGCTTTTCCTGCTGATAGATTTGTCCAGTGAAGTATTGATGTTTCTCCTAAAAAGTTTGTTTACTTGCAATATATTTTTCTTGTGTTTAAACATTACTGAATGTTTATTGTATTCTAACAATTCATTGTTTTATGTTATTAGATATTTATATATACACTTATATATATTCCCAAATTGCTGTACCTTTTTATTTCTGTGGGGCTCTGCGACACACTCATACATTATATATTAGTGTGAGTTTTATTACTGTGGAGCTCTGTCATACATTTTCACGTTATCATACGTTTTATTGCTGTGGAGCTTTTTGATACAGTCATACACAGTGTATATTCCTGTCAATTTTATTGCTGCGGATATCTATGATACACACATATATACTGCACGTTATTGTGAGTTTTATTGCTGTGGAGCTCTGTGATACATTTTCACATTACCGTACGTTTTATTGCTGTGGAGCTTTTTGATACAGTCATACACAGTGTATATTCCTGTCAATTTTATTGCTGCGGATATCTATGATACACACATATATACTGCACGTTATTGTGAGTTTTATTGCTGTGGAGCTCTGTGATACATTTTCACATTACCGTACGTTTTATTGCTGTGGAGCTTTTTGATACAGTCATACACAGTGTATATTCCTGTCAATTTTATTGCTGCGGATATCTATGATACACACATATATACTGCACGTTATTGTGAGTTTTATTGCTGTGGAGCTTTGCGAAACACTCATACACTATACATTATTGTGAGTCTTATTGCTGTGGAGCTTTGTTATACACTATATATGATTGTGAGTTTTATTAGTGTGGATATGTATGATACACTTATATACTCCACGTTACTGTGAGTTTTATTGCTGTGGAGCTCTGTGATGAACAGTGCTGTGGAGCTCTGATACACATAAATACCTCTTAAAGGGACTCTCCAGTGCCAGGAAAACAAACCCGTTTTCCTGGCACTGCAGAATCCTGCAGTCCCACCCTCCCTCCCGCCCTCCATCCCATGTTGCTGATGGGGTTAAAACCCCTTCAGTGACTTTCCTAAATCCACCGATGTCCCTCGGCGCTGGGTCAGGCTCCGCCCACGCAATGGCCGCGCACGCATTAGACCTCTCCATAGGAAAGCATTATTCAATGCTTTCCTATGGGGATTCCGGCAACGCTGGAGATCCTAATTCATAGCATGAGTACGTCCGGTGTTATTTAAAACAATTTTCTTGTTTTAAGAAGCCGGATTTCCCTCTAGTGGCTGTCTGATAGACAGCCACTAGACGAGGACTTAACCCTGCAAGGTAATTATTGCAGTTTATAAAAACTGCAATAATTACACTTGCAGGGTTAAGGGTGGTGGGAGTTGGCACCCAGACCACTCCAATGGGCAGAAGTGGTCTGGGTGCCTGGAGTGTCCCTTTAATTTGTTTTTTGAAATAAATATTAATGTATTTTGAATTGTATTAATTTGCACACTAACAATAAATAACTATGCTAATCTATTAAGTGCTGTGAATAAGATAGCTGTGTAAGATGTTTTTTTTTTTTAAATAAAAGAGAATATTCCTTTTATTTTAGGCAAATACTGAGTTGGACTTGGACCGCAGGGCTTACGCAGGTGAGACATCTTGTGGTATCGATGAAGAATTGCATCCATGTTTGATAACAACATAAGAGGGATTTTACACTATAGTAAATTAACATCAGGCAGTGAGTTCTAGTCAATTGTCAGTGGAATAGTATGATTTAAACTAAAATGTACAACTTCGAGTTCCTGACTAATTTTGCACATTACGAAGTTTCATGTACCCTTCATGGTACACACAGCAAACACATAAGCTTCATATATACATTGTTTGTGCAGTATTTTGTAGATTTACTTTAAAAACTATGAAGTCCCCCTTCACTAGTAGCTACAGCACTCACTCATTAAGGGGTATAGGAATGGATTGTCAGATATTACAGATGCACAGGCAGTTCATTCAGTATGTTGGCATTGCCCTGCTTGATTAGTGTCAGAGAGAGGCTTGCCCAAGAACAGACTGGGACATGGTGCAACATTATAGAATGTGACGGCAGATAAGAACCATTCGGCCCATCTAGTCTGCCCAATTTTCTAAATACTTTCATTACTCCCTGGCCTTATCTTATAGTTAGGATAGCCTTATGCCTATCTCACGCATGCTTAAACTCCTTTACTGTGTTAACCTCTACCACTTCAGCTGGAAGGCTATTCATGCATCCACTACCCTCTCAGTAAAGTAATACTTCCTGATATTATTTTTAAACCTTTGTCCCTCTAATTTAAGACTATGTCCTCTTGTTGTGGTAGTTTTTCTTCTTTTAAATATAGTCTCCTCCTTTACTGTGTTGATTCCTTTTATGTATTTAAATGTTTCTATCATATCCCCCCTGTCTCGTCTTTCCTCCAAGCTATACATGTTAAGATCCTTTAACCTTTCCTGGTAGGTTTTATCCCGCAATCCATGAACCAGTTTAGTAGCCCTTCTCTGAACCCTCTCTAAGGTATCAATATCCTTCTGAAGATACGGTCTCAGTACTGTGTACAATACTCCAAGTGAGGTCTCACCAGTGTTCTGTACAATGGCATGAGCACTTCCCTCTTTCTACTGCTAATACCTCTCCCTATACAACCAAGCATTCTGCTAGCATTTCTGCTGCTCTATTACATTGTCTGCCTACCTTTAAGTCATCAGAAATAATCACCCCTAAATCCCTTTCCTCATATGTTGAGGTTAGGACTCTATCAAATATTCTGTACTCTGCCCTTGGGTTTTTAGGTCCAAGATGCATTATCTTGCCCTTATCCACATTAAATGTCAGTTGCCACAATTCTGACCATTTTTCTAGTTTACCTAAATCATTTGTCATTTGGCTTATCCCTCCTGGAACATCAACCCTGTTACATATCTTATTGTGGGTGAAACAAAGCCAATGGTAATGTCTGCATTGATGGGTAGAAGGTTGTGGTTGTGCATCTCTCTCTCTATTCCGATCACCGATGGCAGATCTCGCTACCTCCCTCTGTTCTACCAAGGGTTCAGGACAGCACCAGTCCTTGCCACTTCAACCACCTTTCCAAGTAACACCAGGTGCAGCAACACACCAGATCAGTGTACCTCTTTGTCATCCATAACCTGTACCCCCTGTCCGCCCGGTCCCTCCCCCCTATACATTCCCAGATTTAGCTAAAATTCCTGTCCGTTCCCTGTAAAGCATTTCATAGCAGCCTAACTGTACAGTATATCATCACTAATAATTAATCTCTTTCAAAACCTCTCCAGGGCTGTTCTTTCTTTCGTAAATCCCTTCCCCAGGTTTTCTGAGCCAGGATGTTCTCTTAGTAACCTTGTGATATCAGATGAATCCCAGTCACCTCTTCAATAACTGTCACGCAATGCACAGTGTCTTAAAGCCAGAAATCATGATTGACCTGTTACTGATGCTTTATTGAAATGTAAGCCTTAGGAATTTTTGTCCAAAATCTGCAGTTTCTGAGTAAATTCTCCACAATTCAGTTTGATATTTAAAGGGGCCAGAACAACTACAGCTTATTGTATTCGTTCCGGTGAGTATAATCATTTCCTTTGGGCTTGTTGCAGTAAACACTGTCTTTTCAGAGAAAATGCAGTGTTTACATAACAGCCTAGTGATAAATCCACTCCTCAGATAGTTGCTAGAGGTGCTTCCTGGGGCAGTGCTATTAGATTGCAGACCGTATTAATAGCGTTCCATGTGGTGTCTAGTTTAACACGCTCTCCTCTCTCGTAGTGTGGGTGTCCGAGATCATGTTGCAGCAGACTCAGGTGGCTACTGTGATTGACTATTATAACAGATGGATGAAGGTAATTTAGAGTTAAGTTCAGATGGTGGCATGAGGAGGGGTCTTCTCCATAGCGGTTTGTTTGAGAAATTATAACAAATAGGGACATCTAATAGTCTAAAATCTTAAAACCAAGTGTGAAGTGCAGAATGGATAAGGAATCACTCACATTTTATTGAGCTATAAACCTAGCTCAAGTTGGATCAGCAGATAGGTCCGTTTAGGCGACCTTCCCCTTCTTGTAAAAGACGTTTTATTTCATCCTATCTATACAAGCACAGAAAGAAATATATATAGTGCAATAATGTAGTATACGTATATGTAAAAATACACATGCGAAATGGTACTCACAAAGAAAATGTGAGCGACGAACACGAGATCTCATCCGATACGACGGATAACCCTGACCCGCAGTAACTCCATAGGTCAAAGGGGGACCTCTTAGGGCTGTGGGGATATTTATGGGATAATAATAGTAACAGTGAGAATTGCCCACTAATTCAATTCTCAGATCCCAAAGAACGTTTATCGTGTTAAGTGGAATGTATTTCATATAATAATATCACAATGTATAAAAATAGATTTTTATTTATAATGACAAATTAATAATAATAATAATATTATATGTAACATGCATAACAATAATCAATGAATATCCAGTACAAAATTATATGCAATACAAAGAAATGGGTATTACGTTTCAATGGCTAAAACAGCATTATCTGTCAAGACTTATTTATTACCATCTTTAACACAGACTGAAAGTAAAACTTTTCACACAGAGAACAGAATTCCTCAGAGTGCAGCGTAAGGTCGTAAAGTTTAGCAGACAGTTAGAATAACCCTTTCAATGCTGGCTAGATCTCCTAGGTAGTTAAGATCTATTCTTATGTAATTTTTAAATAAAATAACATTTAAACCAGTCCATTAGCCATTTCCTGAAAACAATCCAATAAGAGAATCTACCACATTATATAAGCAGATTTTTAATTTGTCTAAAAGATATCTATCTTAATTTAGAGCAAATCAATACACCTGGATAAAAACAGCGGTATGCTAACACGTGATAATATCACATCAATATATAATTATTCTTAATTCCACCTGCAGAATGGAATGTTTATAACTATATATTCTTAGTTAACTAAGATTTCTTAATATGGAAATCTGACCGTGCTTTATCCAGTCATATATAATGCTATTAATACATTTTAATTAATTTAATTTAATTAAATGAAACCAGTATAATTACCAGTTGAGTAGATATTTCATCCGATTGGTAGTCTCTCTGCATGGAGGTGTTGGTTAGAAAGTCAGTAAATTCTAAGTGTTAGAGTTTTAGGAGTAGAGTGTTAGTCTCAGATGTTATCTGAGTTGGAATCCCCAAACTTCCAATTCCTCTCTCCTCTCCTTTGCATCTCTTGCATCTGCCTCCTCTCTCGTATCTTGTATCTTCCCTTTGTCTTAACTTTTAAAGGGCCAGACTCTCTGTACGTCATCAGTTGATAACCCAATAGAAGCACTAGAGGTGTGGTTATCTTCCAGATCGCAAATTAGTTATTTGGTCTGTAGAGGGCAGTCTTGTCCCACTAAACATACCTATCCAGGAAAGAGTTAACTTTTCCTGGTGGCTATTTTGACGTCATTTTGCGTTATCTTTATAGCGCCATAATTTAAAATTTCAAAGGGTTTCTTAAATTTTGTCCAGACTTAGCGTCTGCAATTCCTGCCATAATTTCTGATATGACAGATCATGAACTAAGTTTACCCTTTTCCATACAATGGTACCTTATATATATATATAGACAGTTAAATTTCATTATTTAATCTTCTCTGTCACAATTGTCTGGGTTTAGATTTGATTATATTCCATTAGCATTAGACAGTCTGTCCAACCCCCTTCCTTATCACTTGTTTATACTATGCATTCCTTAGCTCTGGGAAAGTGGTTAGCTTACAGATAGAAATACTGTGTCTCTTTGTTAACTTGAAATAACAAAATGGAGTCTGGTCTGTTCAGAGTGACTCAGAATATACACTTTTAGTTTCTATCATAGCACAAAATGTCTGCCGATATAAATACTCTGACAGGGCGTGACCCATATCCCCACAGAACCACAAGGGGGGGCATCTTGAGCACATCTGGACATGACTCGCATATCACCTCTCTAAGACAATGCTGACAATCAGATTAACGGACGTGTGCAGCAGCCCCGAGATATAGCAACACACACATACACCACGACACTATACCTCTCCTGATGAATCCTAGAAAACACATACTCCGCACCTACACAGACCCAAGCAAGGGCCCTCACGGCTGACCTCACCTTGACATGCCGCAACATGATAACTAGCAAGAACCTCGACCAGGTTAATAACTACCGCGCCCAACCCGGATGGGCTCTAACACACGGGAAAAGGACGCAAATCTCGCACATCCGACCAAACAAGCCCATTTCTATAGAAACAACTCGATTGCCATATGGACAGGGTCACTGTCGGTTGCAGATGGATTACAAGGGGGTAGACTGACTAAACTAAGCCCTGGGTACGTACGGACCTCTTCTCACTGCTCCCCATATCCCTGCATTGTGGATCTCGTATCAGACAGACACCACACACTCCTACACACGACCACTAGTTAGGATATTATCCTTCACACCGAAACACACAACATACATTCATTGACAATTACTCTGGCTTCACCCCAATCAAGGAACCGCATCCTTAGAGCACATATGAGCGCTACCATACCCACGTAGCTCTAGCTCTATATGGAAGCCCCTGACTCCAGGATATATTGGGACGATAATATTTTTCAATTCACGCTTTAGAAAATAAACAGAATTGTACCCTATCATTGGTTGTATATTGGAACAGGGAACATCCCTGCATATGTACATGTATATGTTATACTTCAAAAATGCTACCTTCACTGTTTGACTGATGTGGGCCTGCGAGCCCTGAAATTTATCGTACCTAATTGCTAATAAAAACCTGATTAACAAAAAAAGAAAATGTGAGCGATTCCTTATCCATTCTGCACTTCACACTTGGTTTTAAGATTTTACACTATTGGATGTTCCTGGTTTTTTATAGGCACTTTGTTGCTTATATTGTAAACACCTATCAACCGTTGTTTTAAGGTATTTGCCGTTATTGGAATTTTATGTGCATATTTGGAGAGACAGCACTTGGTGTTTTAGCAGCTTAATTTTAACAGTTTCCTTTATAAGCACTTGCACTTTTGTAAGATCCTAAATATATTTTAAGTTAGCGCTGGTATACTACATCTTTGTTGTGTTTGATAAATTAGTTTATGGGAAAAGATTGGTGACATTAAAACACTCCCATCATCCTCTGCTTTACAGTGACTGGCTAAACCTTAAAACACTCTCATCATCCTCAGCCATACAGTGACTGGCTAAACATTAAAACACTCCCCTCGTCCTCTGCCATACAGTGACTGGCTAAACATTAAAACACTCCCCTCGTCCTCTGCCATACAGTGACTGGCTAAACATTAAAACACTCCCCTCATCCTCTGCCATACAGTGACTGGCTAAACATTATAACTCTCCTATCATCATCTGTCTGGCTAAAAACTCATTTTAGTAATAGTGAATAATGTTTTGCTATTCTGTTTTATTTTTTTTTTCCTACAGACCTGGCCAACACTTGACGACCTTGCTTCAGCATCTCTGGAGGTAAAATAAATTACCTGTTTAGGGATTCCCCTTATCACCACCACAGAAGAAGAACATCCATCGTGTTTTGTATAAATAAATTGTATTTGAAGGTGAAATAGCTTCCTGGCTCCTGGTTAGTGTTGGGATCTGAATTACAAATAGTTAACTAGTCACCACATTTCTATCTTATCAGAGAGTGATTCTGCCTGTGTAATAATATGTAACAATCCCTTTCTGCAGGAGGTGAATGAGAAATGGTCTGGACTTGGGTATTACTCCCGTGGACGGAGATTGCAAGAAGGAGCCAAAAAGGTCTGTGAACATTATTTGCATTTCGCTGCGCATCCCAGGAGTCAATTTCAAATAAATGGAGTTTTATTACCAGTAAAAATGAATATATTGATTCCAAAGCTCACAGTTACTTATCATAGTCATTAGTAATTAGGATATAGCAGAACACGAGTCCTCGGCCAGAATCCATTTATTGTAGATCTATTTATAAAGTCTCTGTCTTCAAAAAAACAACACAGCAGCAGTTTATAATTAATTATATCTCATCAGTAACAGGGTAATATTGAATAAGATGTCATCTTTATAATGTGCTAAATAAGCAGATTGTAATGTGTTGGACACATTGTGGAGACATCAGTTCAATTTGACCAGGCAATAAAAACCAGACACATTTTATTAAGTTTCCAATGGGCTTAAACGTGGTGTTTATTCCTGGCCCTTTGCCAGTTTGCGAATTCTGTGTTTCTGATTTCTGACGTGGCTTGTTTTTTTGACCATGCCTGCTTGCTGCCAGTCCTGACTTAATCTGCTTTCTACAATCCTGACTTCAGCTCCATTACTGATTTGTGTCTAGTTGGTTAACATTGAATAGTGTCTTTCAGTCATTGTAATCATATAGAAAAAATCCAAGCACACAAGATCTTCCCCTATTTTTCAATAGTTTAGGAAAATCCTTACAAATTCTTTAGAAAGGCTTCATTCTTTATTTAACGTCTCCCCTTCCTCATTCCTTTTGTCTGCAGTCACCCTTGCTCCAATCACATACAGCTTACTGTGCTGTCACTGGGCATATGACCATTTTTACATCGAGATGAATGTACTCTATCGTTACCAGTTTTAGTTATATTTTATTTATTGATATGTCCCTTGAGCCCATATAAAGCGGTGCAGGAAGTATTGCTCTTTTTACATAGCCGTGTAATAAGCCATTCTTACACTACGTCACATTTAATGTTAATCTTATAAAGTAAGTAAAAGTTCAAATTCTAACCTAATGAAGAGCGAAACATGCTTAGTATGGCCTTTTCATGTTTCAACGTCTGACAATGAAATGCTGATTTTACAGAAATTCTCCGAGAGGGTTCTCTGGGCTGACTGACCTTTCACAGCTAATTAATATTTATATTATCTGTGCTGAAAAAAAGTTTTGAAAGAAAAGAAATGAGATTTATTGTTGGCTGATGTATTTGCCTATTAAAAGCATCCAAATTGTATAAACATTTATCTGTCTAGTTCAGGGGTATCAGCCTTTTAATACCTACTGCCCACTTTTGTATCTTTGTTGATGGTAAAATTTCCTTACGGCCCACCAGTGCCGCAGTAACTAATTTTATAGCGCAAGTGTGTAAGGTGCTGTGTGTGTGTGAGAGAGGTGCAGTGTGTTAGGGGGCAGTGTGTGTAAAGGGTGCTGTATGTGGATGTGTGAAGGGTGTAGTGTGGGTAAGGGGTGCAGTGTGTGTGAAGGCTGCTGTGTGTGTGAGGGGTGCTCTGCCTGTGTGAGGAGGGAAGTGTGTGTGTGAGGGGGTAGTACCTGTGTGAGGGGGCCGTGTGTGTGTGTTTGCGTGTGAAGGGTGCATAGGGTCTATGCTGTGTGTAGGTGGTGAGATGTGAAATCTATTTTAGTGTCTCCCCCTCCCTTCTTCTTACCTTTTACCAGGGAGGGAGGACATAATGTTGCAAGCCCTGGTGGTTCAGTGGTGGCATGTTCACTTTAGCCTCCAGCTCCTCCAGCTGCAGGCTGACTCTCCTGTCCATCTGCGAGCACCGCACTGTATTGGAGTGTTGCCATGGTAACGCACAGCAATTCTGTGACCAGCATGCTCGCAGGAGGAACACAGAGCCTCCCAGGCCCTTTCCTCCCTCATCTGGAACTAAGTGCCAGTGGGCTGGTGAGGGAGATATTTGATCTCCTCACCTGCTGAGAGGGCTTACAGCAAGGCTGGCTCTGCATGGGCTGGCAGGGGAGATGAAAGGATCTCCCTTGCCAGCCTTGGTCCATGGCCATCGAGGCCCATCGGGCGTTTTCTGCAGAACCCTCCATCGCCCACCTGAAATCCCAAGCCGAACACTAGTGGGCGGTAGGGACCAGGTTGACTACCCATGCCGTAGACACTATATATAGTGACATGCCCTCAGGATATCTTTCTTGCCTGCCAAGACTTCCCAGCCTTGTCACTGAGTACTGACAGTAAGTATCTCTTAAAAAAATAATATATCTGGAGTTATTTATTGTAAACACACGGAGATCTGTGACATCTGCTTGGCCTTGTCAGTGTCCAGTAAGTTCTTCTTGGCCTCTGTTAGAAGGCCGTTTTGTGTCCTTTGACCTGAATTTATCTGTCATCATGGTCAGCCTATCTTTCAGGAAGGATTTGTCACTTGCAAGGTACAGTACCCCATAGGAGTTAGCAGTAAGGAACAGAATTTATTTGTTGAGATAAGTGAACGCTCTGTGCATCCATCAAACTGTTCTAGTCTTTTGGGTTGAATCAATTTTCTAGTGTTTTTGTTACATTTAGCATCCAGAAAGTTGACTTAAGTATTCTCATTGGTGTGGGTAAACTGAATGGCAAGTATTTAGGTGTGCAACATATTCTGTAATAGCCTGTATAGACCCTCTGCAGATTAGCAGTCATCAACGTAGCGTAGTCAGGAAGACATGGTGGAAAAAAGTGTTTTAGAAATATGGTATAGGATGGAGCCATGTTTGCTCCATTTCGAAGTCTTTAAATGTGGTCAGAGAAAATGTTCATGTAATGAAAGTAATGTTTCATCATGACTTTCTCAATGAGTCCTTCCTCTGGGAGTAGTCCTGCCATCTCAGTGGGGTATGGAAGTATATAAGTTTTATTAATCTAATATCACTTGTCTGTCAACAGTAGACAGTTACATTTTCAGTTTTACCAGTAAGTCTTTAGTGACTCTTACATAGAAGGACTGGAGCAGACCGGTCAATATATCTTGCAAGCATTTGGAAAATAGTCTATCCCAGCTAGAGTGTTCATCCAGTTGGGTGAGTTGTGTTTTTATGGACATTCTGTGAAGTATAAAATGCTGGTGTAGCTGGACATTTGTTAATTAGAAAGAAATGTGGTGATTTAGGGATGGAACGGGCAAACAGTCAGCTACAGTTTCTGTTCGTTTTCTCTCCAGTATTTTCTAGGTGATGTTGCCTACATCATGCTGACCCATCCTGTTTCTATGAGTAGACAGGCTTTTAACTGTCAGAGCTGTAAGGCTCATGGAAAAATGATACAAATTTTAACCACTCTTTGTAGTGGTTTATAATATTTTACAGAGTGATGGAACTAAAGGAACTCTTTGATCTTTGGAGATATGCTTCAGCCAGGATGGTCTGGTGTAATGTGATGTTAGTTTTATAGTCCTTTCCTTAGGCATGCTGAGTTTGCCTTTTGTAATAATGTTCTATTGTTGGAACTTGTGTTATTAATTCTGAAATCAAGGTGTTGATTAGTGGGAATACTTGCAATATCAGAAAACCTATAAAGGTAGACTCTTAGTTGAGCAGAAAAGATCAGCAAAGCAAAGAGAAACAGAATATGTCTCAGGGTGCCCAAAGCTAAACTTACTAAACCTTACAAAGCTGATGACTTCATGAACTCCTGCGCGATTTGGGTTCAACTCGTTGGAAGAAGGAGCTGGTTATTTGTATCTGCTGTATATTATGTGTATACAGTCGGCAGTTACAGGTATCTTTGTGCGAGGAGTGCTTTACTGTCTGCTTTTTATCTTGGTGAGTGTTTTATTTTTGTTTACAAAATCATCCATTTTGGGTAATGGATCCTTAATGCATGTGTAGCGCCGTAGTACGTGGGCCTATCAGTTGCGCTCTCTACCTGTATTCTTTGTGAGCTTTACATGTTCCAACTTGTGAGCAGCATTGGCTAGGTCACAGTAACTGTACTGGGTCAGTGTTTAGATACTCCAGGTACTTATCTTATATACAAATAGTGAGTGTCAGTAAGTAAATTCTCAGTGTAAGGTAACCAAATGAATGGAGATGTCACAGTATAATGCATGGTAGTGTGTTGTTCATACAAATAGGGGATTAACATTTCCACTAAGGGTACAATCCAGTAAAGTCCAAATTAAGGCACCATCTTCATTTCTTTACGTCCTCGCCAAGCTGTTTGCTTTCATTGCCTTCAGGTAGTGACCGAATTTGGCGGCCGGATGCCCCGCATTGCAGAAGAGCTGCAGAAGTTGTTGCCGGGAGTAGGGCGATACACAGCAGGAGCAATCGCTTCTATTTCCTATGGCCAGGTAATTAATCATTGTGTGGATCCCTAGATGGCTGATCTGGCATTATATGAGTTTTGGATCAACAAAGAAAGACAACGGTGGCAGATTACTGTCATGGAAGGTGTTTGTTTTTGTTTTTTTCTTCTCTCCAGGCGACCGGAGTTGTGGATGGAAACGTAATCAGGGTTTTATGCAGACTCCGCTGTATCGGGGCCAACTCTGGTTCACCGGCAGTAGCTGACAAACTTTGGTGGGTTTAGAAGAAGGTTTATTTATGTCCTGGTTCTACCATACAGCCATTTTGTTGGAGCCTCACATGCCTGCTCCCTGCGAGGTATATTCTGTGTTAAACCTTGATGACTGCGTGGCAGTGATTGGCACTACCATAATATGGATTCCATAAATTCAGAATAACTGAAAGCTGTTTTGAGGAAGGTCCTTCTTACCTCTGGTCTCCATTCCATTTGCCATAGTTTAATTGTTTGTTTTATTGACCTATAATACAGCGCTGCAGAATATGTTGGTCGTTTATAAATAATTGCTGTAATACAATTTCCGTTTCCCTCTGTAGGGACTTGGCAAACCATCTTGTTGATCCTGAGCGACCAGGAGATTTTAACCAAGCCATGATGGAGTTAGGGGCTACTGTGTGCACCCCAAAAAAGCCACGGTGCACCGAGTGCCCCTTACAAAGCCAGTGCCGAGCATATGAAAAGGTAATGTGTGTTTGTGTTGATCCAGTCACTGCCCTTGATTCCACGCCATGTGAACACTGGGTGATACAGAGCTCTCGGGGAAAGAGTTAAAGAACCAAAATGGTTATTAAATAGGGGATATTTTTCTGATCTTTTTTCTGTATAAACTACTACTTTAATTGTTTTGTTTTTGTTCCTTTGCTGTAATAAAATCTGTTTTTATTTTTATGAATGCTGTTAACAGTGCTTTCTCCATGGTTTAGGTCTAGGAGGTGGGCAATGTGATGCTAGTGTTTCTATTGTTGTGTTTTAGCCCAGTTTGAATGCCGTGATGTGTTTGGCCTTTTCTGTTCTGGTTTAGACCAGCTGTGGCCAAGGGGCAACATGGTGAATTGTGCCTCACCTGAAATTGATATCATTAAACCATCGCTACTAGAAATTCAATGTCTGTTATAGATCAGCTGTTACCTATACAGGAGACGATGTGTCTGGATTTAATTTGGCAATGTACAGTTTCATTCACACATCGATTGCGGCCTGTGCTTTGTCCAGCTTTATCTGATGAATGACATGGCTACTTGCAGGTGGAAGCCGATTTAACATCAGCCGCTGCTAATCTAACAAACAGAAATCCCGACCCTAAATCTGCAGCTGGCGACATTGAAGAGTGCGGTGAGTGCCGTGGAGTCTGGGACTGGGACTGGTTTTATCACTCACCTCTCCGCAACAATTCAATCATACAAATCATCTGCTCTCTGATCTATTTTATTAGCCTTTTAAGAAGTTGATAAAATTAAATTGTAACATTCTAGGACAGGGATAATTGTTAAAGGATTACAGATCCCATGATGCTTTGCCAGCCTTTAAGCTAAAGCTCATTGTAGGACTTGTGTTTCTATATCAACTGGTGGTTGTCATGATGGGGATCATTAGAAAGGGGGGAGGGTACTGCATTTCCACTGATAGTGTTTATCATATTGGGGGCATAATGTATATACACTGATAGGCTATATTATACACTATGAAGGATCATTATAAATGGGATACCGTACTTACACTTATAGATATAATGTGTATATACACTGATAGGCTATACTATACACTAATAAGGATCATTATAATGGGATACCTTACTTACACTGATAGATATAGATAGAGATATATATATATATATATATATATATATATATATATATATACACTGTATACACTGGTGGTGATTATTATAAAAGGGGGGGATACTATATAAATTGATGATCATTATAATGGTCGGATACGGTGTATACCCTGATAGGTTTCAGTATGATGGGGGGTACGGTGTGTACCCTAATAGGTTTCAATATGATGGGGGAGTACCGTGTATACCCTGATAGGGTTTATTATGATGGGGGGGGATACGGTGTATACCCTGATTGGGTTTATTATGATGGGGGGGGATACGGTGTATACCCTGATTGGGTTCATTATGATGGGGGGGATACGGTGTATACCCTGATTGGGTTCATTATGATGGGGGGGATACGGTGTATACCCTGATAGGGTTCATTATGATGGGGGGATACGGTGTATATCCTGATAGGGTTTATTATGATGGGGGGATACAGTATATACCCTGATAGGGTTCATTATAATGGGGGGGGATATGGTGTATTCCCTGATAGGGTTCATTATGATGGGGGGATACGGTGTATACCCTGATGGGGGGGGATGTGGTGTATACCCTGATAGAGTTTATTATGATGGGGGGATACGGTGTATACCCTGATAGGGTTCATTATGATGGGGGGATACGGTGTATACCCATATAGGGTTTAGTATGATGGGGGTATACGGTGTATACCCTGATGGGGGGGGGATACAGTGTATACCCTGATAGGGTTTATTATGATGGGGGGATACGGTGTATACCCTGATAGGGTTCATTATGATGGGGGGATACGGTGTATATCTTGATAGGGTTCATTATGATGGGGGGATACAGTGTATACCCTGATTGGGTTCATACGGTGTATACCCTGATAGGGTTCATTATGATGGGGGGATACGGTGTATTCCCTGATAGGGTTCATTATGATGGGGGGATACGGTGTATACTCTGATAGGGTTTATTATGATGGGGGGGATACGGTGTATACCCTGATTGGGTTCATTATGATGGGGGATCCCTGATGGGTTCATTATGATGGGGATACGATAGGGTTCATTATGATGGGGATACGTGTATACCTGATAGGGTTCATTATGATGGGGGGGGGATACAGTGTATACCCTGATAGGGTTTATTATGATGGGGGGATACGGTATATACCCTGATAGGGTTCATTATGATGGGGGGGATACGGTATATACCCTGATAGGGTTCATTATGATGGGGGGGGGGTGGGGTTACTATATTTACACTGATAGAAGTACTATGACTACTGATGGTGATTGTTTTGATGCACTCACTTTCTGTTTCTATTCAGATTTGGCCCACGGTTCATGCACATTGTGCTTGCCTTCTTCTGACCACTGGGACAGATCGCTTGGGGTGACAAACTTTCCCCGCAAATCTGCAAAGAAGGCGTCACGGGTGGAACAAACCTTAACTTGTGTGTGGCAGAGACGTGGACAAGAGGAGGAGCCAGAATATTTACTCGTTCAGAGACCCAGCTCAGGTAGATGAGATGTATGTCAGTACAACCCAAGGTAAAACAGTATAATAGTGATGCAATGAGAACATATCCTGTGCCTGGTTTATACCCCACCCAGCACAGGCCTGCAGATAATATACAACGAGGGAGTGGTTTATAGACTGGGCTGGATTACGATTGGCCTGTAGTTGCAATCTCTGGACTATACTCCCCAACGGCAAGAAAACAGGGTGCAATACTCCGTATTCTCGTACACCCTGTTTTGTTTGCTCTCTCGCTAAGGTGAAAGGGTAATCCAAACATGGACCCCTAGCTTACTGTGCCTAGAGGGATGTCGCCTATACCTCACTGACCAGGTCTAAACGATCATCTGGGGCTGCTGTATCTCTCGTGGAGTGGGAGCCGGCCTGCATTTCGGATCTTAACCCCCTTATTAGGCAGACTAGATGGGCCGAATGGCTCTTATCTGCCGTCACATTCTCTGTTTATGGCTGGGATCAGTCTGATATGCAAATGGTTTAGGTTCTCTCTGTAATGGCACAAGATGAGCTAAAACCAGCTTGAGATCTGAGCGAAGATTAACCGAAGGACAGGCTACATTGTTTTTATATTCTTTATTTATACGTAAATCACTGGTGTGAGAAGTGTTGAAGTACAAATACAGTTATACAGCAGTAGGTAAACCGATAACAAGACACCATCTACATTAGTGACAATTATAGTGAACTGAAGATTTTTGTATATATGATAGAGCTCTGCATTTGTTAATATTGACCTGAATGTCGCTAATGGTTAATAAAGGCTAGAGTTGGCACACTATAGCTTGATTTATATAATAATGAAAAACAACTAAACATGTCACACTCGATTGCCAGCACACTGGGGATATTAAAATGAAGTGTGATAATCCAGGAAGTGAACCCTAATTACAAGCCCCCTGCTTGTTCTGGTTTAAAAAAGGAAATTATAATGATAAACCACATTAATAGTTCTGTATGTATTCATTTGAATTCCGGTCCGGCTTTGTCAGAGTTCTGCTTCTTGCTCTTCCGATCCATGTCAGCCAGGCCTGCAGCACCACCCAAGTTAGGGCTATAAAACGTTGCAAAATCGATTGGAGTAGGGATCAGTTTCGGAGCTTATAGACAGCGTGTCCTCCTGCTTCATTCGCTAAGCCCTGCCCCTACTGTTTTTTGGTTTGTTTTCTCTACATTACTCAAGATACTCAGACAGCCTATAGGAAATGGCCGTGTGTGCTTTGTAGAATGTCTGCTCTGTTGGATACTATTATAATAGTTAATACACTGGCAGTTCTATACGAATAGGTGCAAGAGATAATCCCATGCGACACTAGGGCCAAAGCAAACAGCCAAAACTTCTCCATTTAATATTGTTTGATAAGCTTTTCTAATAATTTTATATTTTTGGATAAACTTTTAAAGTTTTTTTGTTTGTTTTTTTCGTCTTCAAAATTTTATTAAATAAAATCATCAAGGGGGCTTGCCCAACATGGCGAACAGTCGCACATCGCATGAGCTCTGGGAGAAATCCTGTTAATAACACCTCAAACTTGGTCTTACATGCCTCTGCTGACTCACAGCTCACCCAGGATTCGTACTCTAACACATCTGATAGCCGACACTGCTTTTCCTGCTGGACGACTTACAGTGGCAATATTGCGGCCTAGGGATTGGGGGAGATGACCGATCCCTCAGCCCACATTCTAGTCGGACCCATGGTGGACCGCCCTGCCTCCCCCCCTGCCGGTGAGGGTTATCCCAGCATTCTCAACAACTTACCTTCATCTGGGACTGAGCTACGTGCAACCCGCCAACATCTACGGGCCTAACTACGGTTCTCAAAATGGCGCCGGAACGCGAACCTGTAAAACGTGAGGCCTAATCTAAGCTTCTTGGCAGCATTCGACAAAATTTGTAAAGCCTTTTAGCAGACCCTGTCCACAGGCTCACAGGCGCTGATCTCACCAAAAGGAGCAGCCACACTCTTACTCACCCCCCACCAGAGATACCAAGTGGGCCCAAGAAGCCCTCCTGTACCCTTGAGGAGCTGCTGTATTGGGAGTGTGAACCTTCGACATGCTCACCGCATATGTGAGGAGACAGAATCGATCCTCGCTTCGCCCTCACCCCCCAGCAGTACAATGGCCTCTACTGGAGCATGCTTGGTCCAGTAGAGGACCACAGAGCCCTGACAGGCTGTTTCTCCAGTGCGCCTGTAAGCGTTACTCATCTGCAGCACCTGGCAACTCATAAAAGGGGCATCGGCTGATTACCTTACCTCACCCAGAGACTCTTACCCATGCAGTCTCTGAAAGGGTTAATCGACTTCTCTTTAACTCCCTCAGTTTTCGAATCTCCAGGTCACCACATCAATTGATGAGAGCTTCTTGTTTAGCAAATAAAGACACAGGCACAAAAGAGTGCTTAACAAGTTCTCAATGAGTATATTTTCAGGGCTAGCATTTATACACAGTTTGTCACGCAAGCAGCGAGATTTATCGCTTCTTTATAGTTAATAGTACATACTTGTGTGGCAGTAGAAGATAAGCATTTGAATAAAGACAGAACAGGAACATCCTGAGGTTCGAGCGAGGTCGCACATCCTCTAGAAGGAAGACCTTGGTACAAAATACATCTGCCAAAGTCAGCATAATTATTTCAAACATTATTTTAAAGCATATAAAGCAAAAAGAGTTTAACTATTTCATATCCTTACATTCCCCTCTTTGAGCAAAAACTTGCTCATATTATCGGTTAACATTCTCCCAGGACAGAGAAACTTTCACATTATGGCATTCCTAAGCAATCATGTGGTCTACAAGAAACAGAAACTCAGCAGGAAAAAAGACACTTCATACTTTTGTAGACACATATATAGAAAATGGATGTTTAAGACAAAATGAAACTTGGGCTTATAGCAAATATATTATTGCAAATAGCTGACATTGTAAGAAATTATGACCCTCTTACAGGGATATTCTTTTAGGGAATGTGTGACAAATAAGACATAAACACAAGTGTATAATAAAATGTATTGTAAATATTCATTTAAGGATACTGTTAGATTTTAAAAGGATATACACAATATACATTATACATTATATCCGGTACATAATCAAAAGCTACATAATAAAAGGCAATACTTAAACATTTAAATGCAGGTCTTCCCCTTGCGCCTTCATCTTGGGTAATCTGGGACAGCCTCTCTTAGTTCACCATGGCCCTGCTTGCTGCGTTGTCCTCTCCAAAGAGAGAGAGAAAGAGAGAGAGCCTTCCTTGGTTGTTGTCCTTTTAAAGACTGATTCTTGGAGTAATAAACTACAAGTCCCAGAATCCCTTTTCCTTCCCAAAAGTGGTTTATCCCGCCCTCTTTCTCCAGAGAGTTCTGTCTTTACACAAGTCTTTCCCTTTGATCTTTTCCCTCCAGCCATACTGTAACATTGTGAAAGACCAGTTGATTAGGTTTCTTGGTAGATTGGACTGCTTGGGAAAACACACACTTTCATGGTTACACCTAGATGTCTATTACTCTGATCTCCTGATAACATGCAAGGAATACTGGAGGGATGTAAGCTTTTGTTTTAGCTGGGTGTTGTAAAATGCAACTGAAAGCTTTGATCCTTATCACACTGTTATCAAGGAAATGACCCTCACTTGTGAAACCAGTCACATACACAGAAAGTTATATACAATATTGCAGTTTGGAATATCAATTTCTTACAACATGTTAACCAGTTTTAAACAGACTAACCAGCCTGTCATCTCTATCATAAGCCCTGGGTAAATATGGGCAAAGTGTATTATTCCCAGCAGTTGATTTCCTCCTTCGTCCACGGAAGTGGGCTCATATAGTCAAAGTAGGAATAATACCTATCCCCCGTCCAAGGACCGGGGTCTAGGATTACCAGTCCACCCGATGATCTGGGGCGTGGCAAAAACTCATATTTGAGGAAAAATAACATCTGGGGAAAACATGAGTGGGGGCAGCGATCGTGTTAGACATGTCATCCCCTCACAGTTGACACCACTTGTGACTTATAATACCCTCACCTGTGAGTACATAGCTCGGGTATCGGGAGGAATTGGGAAACACTTCTTACATATTAATTCATGAGATAAATTATAATCTAGCTTGAAATTCTGACAATAATCACAACCAGGACCTTGCGTCCTATATCTTTTAACCATTTCCCTATTCCAAAGGTCCAATCAAAACCAGTCATATCCTCACGCAGTTCCTCAAAACATGGGAATCCATCCTTGGCACACTCAACATATATCAAAAACACACATAGTACATCCATCCCTGGGTCATCTAACACTTCCTCTCTCTCCGGCTAACTCTACAAAAATAAAAATAGTTCAATAGTTCAGCATAGTTCAGAAAAATAGAATAAGTCTTTCACAGAGTATAAAGAAATCAGTTTATACACCAGACATTTTGTTCCATAAAAATGGCTAAGGGTAGCAATATGGCTGACAACAAGACAATGTCAGCTTCCACATAGTTCTTCTTTTGTTTGCTGGATTTTCACCACAATGCTCTGTGCAACACCCCAATGGTTGAAAGGGTTATTACAGAACCAGCGGTATTAGACAGCACTGCACCTTCAGGACTTTCCAGGTTCTTGCGTGCAAAGTTTATGTCCTCATAAGTAAGTATCTCAGTTTCTTCGGCCTGCATGGATAATGACCAAACAGACGTAATTGCAAAATACTTATTGCATGGTCAGCCAGAGAGATTGGTGTGTAGTCCCAGAAATCAGGCGGCACAAACACTCCAGGACGGTCTCTACAATCATACAAACACAAGGATCAATACAACATCAATTAATTAATTACCTAGGCTAAAACTTAAATTAGAGATTAAGGTTAAACCCATAATTTGTGTAACATGTACTTCTCTTATATTTGCTTATATTTTATGCAATCTGTGTTCTATGAAGTTTTACATAATTTCCCTTTGGAATGCCTTTGTACGGATGAGAGTAGCACTCACTCTATAGAAATGCTTGTTAGGATGAATATTAAAACACTAACATATACACATGGGGATAATTCCCAATAAAACTTAGTTCCTAAACTTGAACCTTGATTTGATATTCAAAATTAATTACTTTAATAATCCTGAATAATTCAATACTCTTGGATTAACACATAAAACTATATAAAATATTAAAGACATGAACCATCTGTGTATTAGGCTGGGGTTGTTGGGTGTGGGTATAGGTTGGAAGCTGTGGTTGGTATTGAGGAATCTGTGGGGGTGGGTTTGGGCTCTAATTTTTCCAGTGACCCTGCTATCCACAATTAGAACAGTGTGTTCCACCAATGCTGACGTTGTTACCTCTACAAAAGTTAGACCCTTTGACCAAATCCTCTACCTCTGCTTTTAAAACTTTTCTGATTCAATCTCCTATCACCTCCCAAATTTCTTTGTCTCGCCTGCTTAGGATCACAATCCTTGTGACTGCTACAACATACCTTTTCCTTCTTTCTTTCTATCAAAACAACCTGCTGTATCTTTCTCATGAATCTTCCCAAGAAATTCATTTGGGGTCAAAGAGGGCAAGTCACAGACCAACAAGGAACAAAAGTGAACAAGGAGGAAGCATATTCCATATGCAGGTCGGGATTACCGAACTCACACCCCCTCTTTGTGTACCACACAGATATAATATTAATAAGCTTTTAAAGGTTTAATGGATAGTTACATTGTGTATATAAAGCAAGGTTGTCTAGGGGTATATACATCGACAATGAAAGCATAGCCTTCGTATAGGGCTTGCAATACTGACAGTCTGTGTCATGAGCATAATGCAGACATGCGGTTAGGTACTTTTCCATTGTTATAATATATTGAAAACACTGAGACTTTGCAAATTTTTAAAACGCATATAGCTTCCTGTACCTGGGGCCGTGCAAGGATGTAGTTGGGACATATTTCAAATTGAGTATCAAAAGTCTAACCACAAAACTAAATGTTATACGCTTATCAAGAAAACCGGTTTAACCCGTACTTTGGTATACAATTTGGTACATACAATTGTTTCATTCTAGCTGGCTGGATTTTGTAAAAACACTAAATGCTTGCGTTAATGATATGCAAATCACTCTGCTAGTTAAACTCCTACACAATGGACAATAAAATACGTAAAACACATAACACACCAATTCATTTCAAACCATATAACTCATATTCAGCATCCAATGTAATATTACACGTCATCTCACAAAACAGACGTAGTATAAACACATAATGGATACCCAGCAGATATGCCAATACAGAAAACACATTCATGGGCACGCAACTACACACTCTGTGTCCTTCCTAGGAAACACGGGTAGACACAATATGAAAGCAGTCGTAAGCTAACACCTCCAAATCTCCATTTCCATATAGCTAAAGCAGATCACAACACAGAGCCTCTCTGAGCTGATAGAACCACTCCAACTCCAACTACTCTTGGCCAAAACGCTAGTATTTGATAGTTATTTGGCTGGCATTTTCTAGTCACTAGACTGAGACAAAGTTATTCAAATATAATTTAAAACAACACAGTAACATATAAATTAATCCACTTTCCAGTTAAGCTGCACACTTCACACATTATCACAGTCACCATTTACACAGAATAAACAGTTAACAGCTGTACTCAGAACATATTATTGTAAGGTATACCAATTTTAGTTTGTATTAGATTTATTTTAGGGATTCTTATGCATACATGTTTTTTCTTAATTAACGTCATTACTTTAATCTACTATAGTATTGTATATAAAGAAAGGATCCATTTATATAGCGCGCTCATAACTCAAATATTTGTATGAAACTTCCATTAACTAATCTGAGATGATGCTGCATCAATTTAAATCTTATAGAAATTGAGCAAATATCTGGACCAGATTACACAGACATGGTTTCACCCAAATCTTTCAGAACTCTCAGAGACTTAAAAATTTATACTATACCATGTTCTAAGGCATGGCAAACCTTAGACCGGTCAGTCTCCAAGAGCCTTAGTAACACAGGTAGAAACCTTTGTCCATGATCTCTGATCCAGACTATATACCACAATTTAAAAGAACACATAGAATGTGAGACATAGAAGACACAAAACATATGCAGTAGGTGTTGCATTGGATCATTTAAAGCATCTGTAGCAATAAAAAGGTTAGCTTAGAGCACAAAATGAAGCATTTGTTGGACTGCTGAAAATATAAATGTTGCTCTCTTATTTACAAACAAAAATCATATTTACAGTATGGATCCTCTTGCAATAAACACACAGGGCAAGGAAGATGTGCTGATTGGTGTTCTATACAATTAATCCCATACGGGGAATTAACTTTCAAATACTAATGAAGTGACTTTTTCGTCTCAGTATAAAAAATACTGAGCTCATCATGCAAACAATGTAACACATTTACTCTATCCCACTCTCATAGAAAGTGTAGTGGGCTTATGGTATTAAAGTAACAATCATACCAGGCACACAGATCCCATGTGAAATAACTTACAATAAAACAGAGTAATAAACTATACTTCTATGCGACAGAAAGAATAAAGCAAAATATTTAAGTAGGTTTATCAGGTACACCCTGCGAGTCAGTTCTTTTCTAATATACAGTACTGGTATCATATATATATATATATATATATATATATATATATATATATTGGTCACTCAGGCCCTGAACTCACATTTTCCATACTGCTGACTCAGGGCAGACACACTACTAACTTACCAAAGTGTGTCCCCAATACAGACCATAACCCACAAAGAACACTTAAGACAAACAAAGGTGACCGGGAGAAAGAGAAGTTTGGGTTATACTTATAGATCTATAAACCGTGCTCCTCAGAACACCTATAGCCTTAATAAATCGGAGACTTCTTATGGTCTCAAAACCTGTATCTACCTGAGATACCCTGTATCTATCTTAGATACTAACCTGGGTTACCAAAACCCTATAATAAACTGGAGATCTCTTATGGTCTCAAAAACCTGTATCTACTTGAGATACCCTGTATCTATCTTAGATACTAACCTGGGTTACCAAAACCCTATATATTTAGACCAAATGTCTAATAAACCGGAGACCTATTTACAGTCTCAATATAACTAAAGTCCTTACTGTCACATCATGCCTTGTTCTGCGGATCAGTCTGGTGATGGCTTCTGGTATCCAGTACTCTTTTTACAATTCTTGTTAAGTTTTTCTTGGTTTTTTGGTTTTCTATTCTATGTCTGGTTTTCCTTATGCTGGGTTTTCTGGGTTCATTCCATTATTCCGTCCCTGGAATTCCCAGTGTCCGGGTTTCCTTTAAATGTTTGTTTTATGTTGCCACACCTGTTTGTTTTCCATTTTCCTTTTGTTTCGGCCTGGACCTGCAGCAGTGTTTCAAGTCTCTGCCCTTTCTTGCAGGTAAGTGCTATTGTGGTTTAGTATGGTTGTTTTAGCAAACATTAGGCAGTGTAGGACCTGCCGGATATGGGGTACATTGGCGTTGTTGGCAGGCTTGTGCAATGTATGATCATATAATGTGACTAAATCCCCATACTTTTCATATATAGTGCTTAGTTATGTCTCCTCTTGTTTTGCCTATTATATCTTGTCTTGTTTTATGTTGTAATCCCAGTTCATGTACAGTCCTGTCCTGTCCTGCCCTGTTCTTGTTTTCCTCATGTCTTGTGTACATGTTCTGGGTTCTGCTTTCTGTCCTGCTCTGGTTCTGGGTTATATTAGTTCTGTCTTGTTTTCATGTTTGGTGACTTTCCTAGCCTTGCCTTGTTTCAGTACTGGATACATCTTAGCATTCATCTGCTCTGGCTTCCACTAAGCTGCAACAGGGTCTTGGTTTGTAGCCGCACAAACACTGGTGCTCAACACCAGGGGGAGTGCGTTTACCCTGCACCAGGCCCTGTAACCCACTTTCACGCTGAAGACTCCCAACTTCTCATCAGGCACTCAGGGGTCCCGATTTCCGCACCGCCGCCCGGACAGTGTCTGGGTCCCAGGCCCCGGACCACCACCCTGACATATGGCCGTAGGCACTTGGAGTTCGTGGAGTGGACTTTGCAGCTTTCCTGTTCTGTCTGTGTCGTGTCATGCCTGGTTCTTCTGCTTGCAAGAGATCCTGTATCTGGACCAGTCTGCTGGAGATGGCTTCCTTATTTTTGTCGTGGAGGAGGTCGATCTGCTAAGCTGTACGGTGGTCGCTTCAGGTGTTCTCTTGTGATGCTTCGTTCCTGTTTCATGGCAGTGCTCCTATTCTGGATTGAATCTCTGTCCTGGCTGGTGGTTCCTTTGCAGGAGTGCAGTCTATCTTGCAAATGTCCTACAAAAAAATATGTCTAATACCTTGATTACCTTTCTGATTTTATGCAAATGTTCTTAATGTACCTTATGCATGTCAAAAATAAAGAATTAAAAAAAAATAATAATAAAATGAGGAAAATATTTTTCAAAATATTAAATTGGAAACGCATATCCAAAAATATAAAAAATCAGGGCCTGTGTTTGTTCACTGTGTTTAAAGGGACCCTATAGGCACCCAGACCACTTTGAGAAACTGTAATGTATACATTGCAGGGTTTATACATTGCAGGGTTTACACAGCCACTAGAGGCGTTTCCTGCAGTTTCAAGGAATTTAATCCTGTGAAATAACGCTGGATGTCCTTACGCTTTTCATGAGGTCGTCCAGCGTCTTCAAATCCCCCATAGGAAAGCACTGATTCAATGCTTTCCTGTGCTGAAGGCCTAATGCACACCGCGGAAACGCAATGATATCAGAGGAGGCGGAGAATTCAGTAAGTGTTTAAACGGTTTTTCATCACAGAGGGGAAGCCGTGGGGTAAAGGGACATTATAGTGTTAGTACAACTTTGTATTCCTAACAGTATCGTGTTCCTTTAATGAGGACAGGAATCTTGGCAAATATTATTTTTTTTATTGATTACTAGAAAGGGTTTTGAGATTGGGTAACCATGGCTTCATTCTGTCATCTTTCTTTTTCACCTCGAAAAAGGGCTTCTCGCAGGGATGTGGGAGTTTCCTAGCATGCTTTTGGAGAACAAACTCACTGAAAAAGATGGAGGACTGGCACTGGGCAACTATCTTCAGGAGGTTACAGGCCACGTGGTCCCTTTGAACAAGCTGCAGTATGTAGGAGAGGTAAGTCACAGACTCTGCAATTATCACCCTAGAACTGAGTAAGAAATACTGACCCACACAAAGCCACCACGTGGCTATTAATTATTCAGCACAAATTAGATATAAATTATATTCTTACCTTTGGTGTCAGGGCTGTTGAAATACTTACTTTTACCTCGTTTCCCCACAAGATCACCGACCCTGTCTTCTCTCCTGCAGGTGGTCCACATATTCTCTCATATTCACCAGACATACCTGGTCTACTTCCTGTCTACAAGCCGCATCGAGGCAGTCACCATTAATGAAGAGCTTTCTGAATGTCCAGCCTCTCGTTGGGTCTCCAGAAACCAGTTTCTGGAAGCTGCCGTGTCCACAGCGATGAAAAAAGTAATCTTTATGTCTTGTTTTGATTATGTGTATTTGAGTAATTCACTCATGACCCTACCACATTAACAAGGTCTTCAAAATAGGGAATATCATTTTCTCCTTTATTTTTCTTTTCTATTTTCTTTATTTGGCAGATTCTGAAGCTGTGTGAGAGGAACAACAGCTCCAGTAACAGTACAGTGAGTAAACGCCATTAGATTTACAAAAGCAACCTGTTATTCACTAGAATGCTTCTTGAATGGAAAATTGAATCTTTAGGCCACATTTTTCCACCAGTTTTCCATCTCACTTATTTTAGCCTTGACCTCCATGTTTGAACAGCACACGACAGCTAACAACTTCAATTAAAAAATAATTAAATAAAATTCTCTCTTTTAAAGCCAGGAAAACGGAAGAGAGACGGATCTGTCTTGCAGCCACCAGGCAGAAGAATCAAGATAGAGACTGAAAATCAAAGGTCAATACAGAGCTTCTTCAAACCGACCAATAGGAAGTGACCTGCGACCTGCAGGTCCAATGATGGATAGCATTACTGGCTCCAGTCTGCTGTATTGAGAGCAGATCAGTAAGTTTTACACAAAGATCCCGTCTGCTGCGGATCCCAAAGAACTGCATTTTTATCAGAATTTCACGTGGTTTTATATTTTTGTATATTATGCTAATTTCCTTTCCTATGTGTTTTAATACAATGTGTGCATCCCTATTCTGTGTTTTATTGATATTTAATCCCAAATCATGCAGATCTATTTGTTACAGTTACACAATTAACATTTTTTTTCTAATTAATTCTATATTTTGTGGTTTTCTTTTCTAAGCTGTTCTATGATTCTAGATATGTAAATGCATAGCGTGGTTGCTGGGCATCATGGGAAAGGTAGTTCAAAGAACATCTGGGCTGCCAGTGTTAGGCGTCCCTCCCCATGGCTATTTCAGGATACGTAAGGTTTCACTGTTGATTCATGGAGCAGCAGATAAAGATTGTATGGGATTTACTAGCCAGCCACTTCATTGGATGCAGGATGGGGTCACAGGGAACATTAAATGGAGCATTTAATGCGCTCAATAAAATAGTCTGGGGGCAGTGGTCCTTGATATGTAAAGCATCGCCATTTACTAGAGCTACTTTTTCTGGAGTGGGGGGTCTGGCTAAAGCGCCAGACGTTAAACCTATAAAGAGTTGAGCATATAAAAAGCCACAGCATATTAATGAGGCCAATATTTATAAAATGCATTACAGTAGTATTTGTGCCCGGAGTGTACCTTTAACAGCTTCAATACCAATAACGAGTATAAACTGTTTTGATTTCATGTATTCTGCATTATGAAATCTAATGTTTAAAGCCTCCCTCACCCTCATTTATACTCTAGTTATTATAATCAGCCCATAGAGGAAAGGATGTCTCTACCAAAAGCTGCTAGTCACTGATATAATGAATGTAAAATTGCTGAAAGTACAGGAAGTTTCAATGGGTGATATCATTCTTACAGTCAGTGAGGGGGGAGGAGTGAATGGACTCTACAATTTCACTGTGCAGAACAACAAAGTCAGTTAATATAAGAGGGTTAAAGATGAAACAGGAGCTGCAATGGTGAACCTCACAAACACCACTAAGATAAAGCAAACAAACACTTATATAAAAAAATAAGAAAAAACTCCCCAATGTTAATGAATACCACCTGATACAGTATATATCAGAATCAATGGACAGTAAGCAGCACGAATAGGTCGTCTGATGAAGCCCAGGTCACATGGGTGAAACGCATTGCGTCACGAGTGGGCAGAGCCAGGATCCGAAACAAGGAAGCAACTGGAGCTGCTGACTTTTAACCTTTTTGTGGAAACTTGTACATCACACGCCCAGAACTTGTTGAGTAAGCAGTTTTAATTGTCAAACCAATAAATATATTCTTTTATTCTGCGCCATTGGTGTGCTCCTGGATCTGTCTCCCATACAGTGCTGCAAAGTATGCTTAATTTCCCGGGGATACCGGATTGTGGGATTTTCCCTCCCCATAGGAGCCTATCGCACCCAGAGCCAGGGTTAATCAGGCTCTGGGAAATGTGAGTGAACTCCCAATTTTTTATAAGTGTGCTTTACAAAAATATTTGAAATCGGATGGTCTGCACTATATGTGTTTATATGTATCTTTTCAGATGTTTTTTTTAATATAATATTCTGGTAAGATATAAACTGACCTTGTGTGCAGAATATTTCAGCTCAACACCAGCTTCTGGATTTGGACATTGTCCAATACAGCTACAGATGATTGGAATCTGTTGGACTGCACAAAAATCAGGATTTGTTAAATCTTTCCTCCCCTCCCTGCTACCACATGATACGGTTATCTAGCGGTCTTATCTCCTCCCACTCCACTACCGCAGTGAACAGCAGACATCTTTAAAGTTTGTCAATCAGTCTCAATGTTGCGATTTTGCTACTTCAGATCTCCAATATAAGCTTACAATCGCTCACACCTGCCACAGAGGTACAGACCCTGGACTGATTCATCCAGGCTTGCATACATGTTGATGGGAACAAAACAGAAAAACAGTAAACAACGTTTTAAACTCCTGGTTTTCAACTCACACTTAAAAGCCAACTTTAAGCAACTCCAAGTGAGTAAGCTGTCAGTTAGCTGTGGGTTTATACAGTTAAATAAAAACCCAATTAACTCCGCCGTTGCACACAGGGAAGAGAGACTGCTTTGTACCCGTTTGAAAGTTTCTCTCACATTTTCAGTGTAAAATTTGTTTTTAAAATAAAAAAATAAAAATCAAGCTGCAATGTATCTCCTCCCCCCAACCGCCCACCACCACCACCTAACAATACAGATCATTTAACTTTCTTTGTGAATGTCATAAATGGGAAAATCATCAGGAAGAAAAAAGGAGCAGAAATCTAAAAGCATACATGTCAGGAAGACAAGTTTTGATGTCTATTAGAAAAGGTGGAAAGTCACAAGTGTTTTGGTTTTTTTTTTTTTAAAGCACTGAGAATTTCATGAAGTGTATTAAAGGATCACTATAGGGTCAGGAACACAAACATGTATTCCTGACCCTATAGTGTTAAAACCACCATCTAGCCCCTCATGCCTCCATAAATATAGCAACATTTTACTGTATTCAAGCTTGAAGCTGTAGATCTGCATGCTGTTTGTCTAAAAAAAAAAAAAAAATCAAGCAGTCTGCTGACATCATCAGAAGTGGTAGCCTAATCCATTGGCTGAGACTGACAAAGAGGCAGATCAGGGTCAGAGCCAGCATGATTCAAACACAGCCCTGGCCAATCAGCATCTCCTCATAGAGATACATTGAATCAATGAATCTCTATGAGGAAAGTTCAGTGTCTGCATGCAGAGGGAGTAGATACTGAATGTTTGGATGCATTTTAGGCAGCCATGACCCAGGAAGGATCTCTAACAGCCATCTGAGGAGTGGCCAGTGAAGTTATCACTAGGCTGTAATGTAAACACTGCATTTTCTCTGAAAAGACAGTGTTTACAGCAAAAAGCCTGAAGGTAATGATTCTACTCACCAGAACAAATTCAATAAGCTGTAGTTGTTCTCGTGGCAATAGTGTCCCTTTAAACCATAACTAAGAATACATTGGAACGTTATACACAGATTGTGTAAAAATGAATATAGAGGCAGCAAAATATTTATTATATATAACAAATAAGGAGAGGTTTGATGGTTTTTTTTAAATAAAAACAACATGGGGTGAGGGAAGAGGGGAAGTGCAACAAGACATTACTTAAGGAGTGTTGTTGAGGGCATCTCTCATGGATCAAATTGTAGAGCATGCGGGCAATGTACTTATAACCGAAGAGGTCAATTGGTCCATAAGTCGATTGTCATTGATTTTCACATCTAATATAAAGCAAGGATCTCTAGTTTAAGCCGGTTTGCCTTCAACGTTCTCCTGGCAGCTAGAGTAAGTTCAAAGTCTTTGGAAGTAATGGTAATAATCTGAAGCAATCATGAAATTTAATTTTTATAAATCACCTCAAGTTTTTCTGCTTTAGTGAAAAATATCCATTTTGGGAGAAGAAGGATGTAGAAAGTGTACTATGTACAGTGTGTATGTAGATAAATAATTTTGCAGAATATAGTAGACTAAGCAGCAGTTGATCTAATTTTCTCATCGTCTTTCTGGGTGGATCCTTCAAGAAAGTCGTTTAGGGCTCTCCATAAAGCACGGACATTTCCCTCCCCAAAACCGTCTGCTCCCCTACGCTCTATGAGTTCCAAATAGAATGAGTCCTTGCTCCAAAGGGGCTCAGCAAACACCTGCAAAAGGTATCCGTTTGGCATGTTGCTGTTTTGGGACTTTGAATCCAAAAGAATCCCAAACTGTGAGAGGATTTCTGCTTGTAGCCCTACACCCTGGATTTCCTCCTGCTTTGAGGGGTCAGAGTAATATGTTGGAGGTTGGCTAGTAAAACATACTCCCTGATTAGCCATGGACCGAGCAGTCTTGAAGATATCTGTGGCAAATAGGCCAACATGCTGAATACCTCCTTCTTTGTGATGATTTAGGAACAGATCTAACTGGTTGATTCCTTTCTGTGGCAAAGATTCTGCCAACACCAATTTACCACATTTTCCAAGTTCTGGGGAATCCATTGCAGTCAAACGAAGACCGATGTTGGGCCCACTAATTTCAAAACCTCTATCGCAATCCTCTTCTTTGCTCAGAGGGAAATGTTTGAAACCAAAACATCGTTCATACCACTTTATTATGTGTGGTGAGCTCCCACGTGGACAGGCATAAGTGACATGGTCAATGCAGGTCAAGTCACCAGGAACAACAGGATTACTGTCGCTTCTCAGGTTCTGGAACTCCGGAAGAAAGTTGTCTCCGTAACGTGTGCGGTCAATTAATGTATGACGCACATTTCCAACCACAGATTTCACTACACAAAATGTAACCAAGCCATAGTCATCATGGACTTCTGTAGGAGGAACTAGCAGCTGGCATCTTTCGCTAAGTAGCCGCTGGCAAAAGCCTGGTACGTCCTCCACATCAAAGCTGACATTGCAAGCGGTATCTGGATATGGCAATGGAACAGTCGCATCATACAGCATGGACGATCCTTTGGTAGTCTTTTGGTTGTTTTCGTTAACCATGAACACCACTCCTCCATTTCTCAGGGCCACTTGGCTTGGACTTCTACCATCTAGCCCTCGAGCAGCAAATGGCTGAAATTGATACTTGGTCATCAGCTCCTGGACAACTCTCTCAGCATTGGATACCTGTAGGATGATGTGGCTTAACCGGATCAGACGAGACGTCATTGTAAAGGGTTTCTGTATACAATGAGAGAACAAAGTTTAAGACAGAAACTTAATTGGTGTATAATAAAAGCCAAGTGATGAAAATCACTTTGATTATACATGTTCTTATGCTAGGCTTGCATGCTCAACACAATGTAATTTGTCATGTTCTTCCTAGCAGAATGGATGTTTTGGCGATCAGTGAAACGCATTGTGCAACAGTGACAAATGGTCTCTCTTTACATCAAAACATAATTCAAATGACCATTTCCACAGAACTCTATAGGGTTACAAATACCAACATGTATTCTTAATGCAATAGTGTTCTTCTCCCAATAAAGAGAAGGTATACTCACCTTTTACTTACCAGGTCCTCCGTTTCATGACGCCATCCAACAGGCATTGCTTCTTCAGCTTCTGAGAGCAGCATTGATGAGAAGTGCATGCGCAGTGAGCACCACTCATCCAATCCAATGCCTCTCATAGTAAAACATTGAATCCAATATTCCATACAATCAGCATTTGATCACATTCAAAGTCAAACTCTTATGAGAAGCGTCTCTATTTCCAGTCAGGAAGAAAGCCATAAGAGGTTTGGCTAGCCCTGCAATTACACTGCCTTATCTACTAAACTGCAATGATTTTATTTTTTTATATTGCAAGTCTAAAAGACAGGGACATTGCACCCATACTGCTTCACTGAGATGAAGTAGTTTTGTTGCCTTTAGGGTACCTTAACAAGTAACGTAGTGGCACATTTTTAGGTCCATGAATGTATCCCCTCTGGTAATAAACACGTTTTTACATTTAAAAGAGAAATTAATATATACTGTGAACACTTTATTGAGCCATAATATTAATACATTCATGATACTTTGGATTATTAGAACTGTAAATTTATAAAAATCAGACCATGAAGTGATCCAGTGCTAGTTCACCTACTTTAGCCTTACATTTAAAGGACCACTCTAGGCACCCAGACCACTTCAGCTTAATTAAGTGGTCTGGGTGCCAGGTCCCTCTAGGATTAACCCTTTTTTTTTTATAAACATAGCAGTTTCACAGAAACTGCTATGTTTATAATAGGGTTAATCCGGCCTCCAAATCCTCTAGTGGCTGTCTCATTGACAGCCGCTAGATGCGTTTGCGTGCTTCTCACTGTGAAAATCACAGTGAGAAGACTCAAGCGTCCATAGGAATGCATTGTAAATGCTTTCCTATGAGACCGGCTGAATGCGCACGCAGCCAGCTGAAGAGGAGGAGAGCTCCCCGCCCGGCGCTGGAGAAAGAGATAAGTTTAACCCCTTCCTCTCCCCAAAGCCGGGCGGGAGGGGGAGCCTGAGGGTGGGGGCACCCTCAGGGCACTATAGTGCCAGGAAAACGAGTATGTTTTCCTGGCACTATAGTGGTCCTTTAACTTTACTATAGTTAGTTAATAGTATGAAGTATGTGAACATCTGTCAAAGCTTATTCACCGAAGTGAAAATTAAATCTCCCCTTAAACCATATCATTCGCTCCAAATAGGTTTGGGCCTACCATTTAGAAGTTATACTCCACATACCGTGTGCTGTATACTGTATACATGGAAAGATTAAACTCATGCAATAATACAGATATAAACATAACTGTTATCCTTAAAATTAGTGATTATATTTACATAAGACAAATCCCTCAAGTATAGTGTAATTATTTCAACTTAGCCGTCAATGATCAATTCATTAGGACATAGTAACATTTTATTAAAAGTCAATACAGCCGTTCTCTATTACGATGAGTTGTTCTATTATTTCCCTCAGTTATCCTAAATAGGCGAGTAGGATCTACCTGTGATAATTCATATTAGGAAGCACAAAGTTCAGACCTGCATTTTTAGAAGTATGTTCACAAATTGCAACTTCTCATATCACTACGTAATTTCAAGGGTTATAATTCCCCCAGTCCTCTTACCCCCTCCTCTTTTTCTTTTCCCCTTAAACCATTGAGTCTTATAGTAAAATTCCTTTTATTTTATTTTTTATATCTATCTACATTTCAAAAAAGGTTAAATGTTAATTATTCATATTATTTTTGTATCTTTGATCTATGTACATCTATATACGACGTATTTTATTTGTATTCATTATAAAAGTATTTATATATTTATGTAAAATATGAAATCTTTCCATAAAAATATATTTGAAAAAAATGCATTTGTTTGTTAGCCTATCAGGTTTCAAATTGAGTTACGCTATAATGTAGAATGGCCACTAGGTGTCGCTGGCGTAACACATTCATGTGAAATGATCCATTATACTGCCCTTAGTAACAGCCGATTGTTCGCAAGTAAAAAAAAAAAGAAATAAGATCAATGAATACATTAAACAAATCTGTTTAGTTTACAGGGATAATAGCCACAAGGGCAAATAGTAGTAGACGCACTGGACACGATTCACCCGGCCCACATTACCGGGAGGCTCAGGAGTGCTAAAGACGGTCATGGTGCTAATCAGGTTTAAATACCCCTTCCCCTATTCGTACTGGTAGATTGCCAGGTCACCTGATGGCTGCCAAGACAATCACACTGGAGATTTTGCACGTGGAGTCTAGTTGCCAGGTTGTTCAACGTCAAACGTACAACTGTTAAAGTGACACTACAGCCATCAGAACCACTACAGCTTAATTAAGTTGTTCTGGTGAGTGTAGTCTGTCCCTGCACACTTTTCAATGTAAACACTGTTTGTTTAAGAGAAAAGGCAGTGTTTACATTACAGCCTAGCAACACCTCTAGTGGCAGTCACTCAGACGGTCTCTAGGGGTGCTTCCTGGGTCAGTGCTGGCTGGATTGGCTGAGATCATTCAAGGCCATGAAGGTGAGGCCAGCTGCAGCTAGACCAGCACGGCATGTGAAAAAAAAAAAAAAAGTAAAAACCTTCCTTGTGTGATTGGAGGGTGGCAGGTCTCGTAAACATACACTCACCACCCGCCCCCCACCCCCTCCCCCTCCCCCCTTGAGCAGAAGGTGGGGCCCTAAATGACAGTGGGGAAACCTACTGCCTCATCCCCTTGACTCTGAGCGCTCTGGCTGGATTTAACCAACTAATAAGAGTACTCTGTGTCACGATTCCGGAACCTAACACGCTAAGAGGACACAGAGAGGAAGGGTGCTATACCGGTCCTTAGAGTGGCCGGGCTAAGCACACTAAGAATGGTCAAAAGACAAGCCAAGTAAAGGGAGCCAGAAAACGGGAGAACGAGAAACAAGCAGAGGTCAAAGGAGTGGAGAAGACAGGAAAATCGGAATAACAAGCCAAATAATCAGTAACCAGAGAGCAAGACGAGAAAACTACGCTACAGGTATCACAAGACCACAACAGGGCACTGAGGGACAGGAAAGGTAAGTATAAATACCCTTGGTTTAATTCTGATTGGATAACTTCCAATCAGAATTAACAATCACACGTGGGGGATATTTATACCTCCCACTGTGATTGAGGTACTGTTTCTTTAACGCCGGGTCACTCACGTGACCCCGGCGTTTGCATAATTTAGTGTCCTCCCAGCGTGCAGCGTTATACATGCTGCCGCTGGGGGGCGTGGAGGACGCGAGCGGCAGAGAGGAGACGCCGCTCGCAGAGAGGTGAGACGAGGGGAGACCGCCGTCGGCGACGGACTGAGGGTGAGTGCTGCAAGTGGCGTGCAGCCTCCCCTCATAGCTGCCCGCGGATCCCTGACACTCTGATGGAAAATCGTGAGCCTTGCAAGTCACCAATCAGTCAAGGCTCACGATTTACCTGACAGAGCACTCTTATTGGTTGGTCCTCCCCCCTGTATTGTCATTTAGGGCCCCCACCTGCTCCTCATGGGTGGGAAGGCAGTAGATCCCCCTTACTGTTACTTGGGGCCCCCATCCGTTGCTCATGGGTTGCAGCCAAGAGGGACAGGGCAATAGGCGCTCTCCCCCCCCCCCCGCTCATGGGTGGGGCCCGGGGGAGATGGCAGCAGGCCCCCATTCTGCTACTTAGGGCCCCCACCCACCGCACATGGGTGGGGGACGGAGTGGAAAACTAAGTCCCCTGTTTAGTAGCCCCCACTCACGTGGAAGTGATGAGGGAGACGCTATATTTTTTGTCTCTCCCAGCACCAGCTGAGATGCCCATCAAGTTTCCCTAAGTGTGAGGGACACACAATGGGCACCAACAGCATGCATGCCCTGGAGCTGCCAACCCCACCCCAAGGGTAGTTAAGCTGCTGGTGCCGTCAGCCCAGAGAAGACCAGACTCTTCAAGTCAAAATAAGACAAAAGGGACTGGACACAGGTATAATGTCCAGGGCAGATTTATTGTATAGACCCTAGCTAGCATTGTTGTTGCCAAAACATTGCTGAATTCAGTTCAATAAATCTTCCCTGGACCTTATTATTATCGCCATTTATATAGCTCCAACATATTCCGTAGAGCTTTACAATATTAATAGAGGGGGGAATTTAACTATAAATAGGACAATTACAAGAATACTTACAGGAACAATAGGTTGAAGAGGACCCTGCTCAAACAAGCTTACAGTCTGTAGCAAGTGGGGTATAAAACCCATTCGGACAGGAAATAGCAATCAAATAAAGTGGGAGTGAAGCAGAGTTGGAGGAGAGAATAGAGTGCTGTCCTTTAGGAGAGAGCAAGAGACAGGTATGTGAGGTAGAGGTTACTGTGGGAGGCCATAAGCTTTCCTAAAGAGATGGATTTTAAAGCCCTTCTTAAACAATTGAAGACTAGGGGAGAGTCTGATGGGGGTAGGCAGGCAATTACATAGGAAGGGAGCCGCCTGCGAAAAGTCCTGCAAGCGTGAGTTGGCTGTACGGGTGCGAGCAGCGGAGAGGAGAAGGTCACGGGCAGAGCGGAGAGACTGAGAAGGGGCATACCTATGGATCTGTGAAGAGATATAAGAGGGGCTAGAATTTGTCAGTGCTTTATAGGTGTGAATTAGTACCTTGAATTGACTCCTATAGGATACAGGAAGCCAACGTAATGACTGACAGAGGGGTGGGGTGTGACTAGAGCGGAAAATTAGTCTGGCGGCAGCATTCATTACAGACTGTAGTGGGGCAATTTGGCTTTTGAGAAGATCAATTAAGAGAGGGTTACAATAATCCATGCGGGAAATTACTAGAGCATGGACAAGCTACTTGGTAGCATCTCGTGTAAGAAAGGGGCTATGTTTTTAAGATGGAATCTAAAGGATTTTGCAACATACTGAATGTGAGGCTAGAATCAAGTATGACGCCAAGACAGCGCGCTTGCAAGGATGGACTTATTTGGATACCACTAACTTGAACGGAGAGAAAAAGAGGAGGATCAGTATTAGGAGGAGGAAGACAAGGAGCTCAGTTTTAGAGAGATTGAGTTTCAGAAAGTGGGAGGACATCCAGTCAGAGATAGAAGAAAGGTAAGCAGTGACACAGGGGAGAGGTCCGGGGAGGAGAGATATATCTGGGTGTCATCAGCGTACAGGTGGTAGTGGAATCCAAATGAGGCAATAAGTTTGCCAAGAGAGGCAGTATAAAGAGAAAATAGAAGGGGACCAATGACAGAGCCTTGGGGGACTCCAACCGAGACAGGACGAGGTATCATTAGAAAAGGAGACACTGAATGAGCATTGGGATAGATAGAAGGAAAACCAAGAGAGGACAGAGTCACTGAGACCAAGTGATTAAAGAGTTTGAAGAAGGAGAACACGTCAAAGGCAGCAGAGAGGTCAAGAAGAATTAGTATGGAGTAGTGGCCTTTGGATTTAGCTGCTATTGGGTCATTAGTAACTTTGATAAGAGCAGTCTCAGTAGAGTGGAGAGGGTCAAGGAGAGAGAGTCTTTCCAGAAGCTTTGAGGAAAATGGGAGCAGGGATATGGGACGATAGTTAGAGAGGAAGGAAAGGTCAAGAGATTTTTTTTTAAGATGGGTACTATAGTGGCATGTTTAAGGTCAGCAGGGACAACGCCTGAAGAGAGAGTGTCACATATTCATCCGCTTATAGAAATGTGGTTAATGACATTTACTGTCCACACAGGAAAAGTTGTGCCGAGCAGCAACCAAATCCACAGAATGGTTAATGCTGAGCAGTAATTATGAAAATGGGAACCTGGTAACTGACTTTGGGGTCAAAGGCCGGTTACAGCCTATCAGAACTAAAGGAGGGGTATTTAGTCCCAGTTCTCAGCCTGCTCAGTGCCCTGTCGTGGTTTCCCTTGTGGTTGTCCGAGAGCGCGTTCCTGTTTATAGTTTTCTACCTGGTTTTTGACTTTGGCTTTGTTTATTGACTTCTCTATATTCTGGTATCCTGACTCCTGGCTTTCCTCATAGCTGTGTCCCTTTCTGTGTTCCCTGACCTCGGCTAGTATTTTTGACTATTCTTTGTACGTTAAATCCGGCCATTCTAAGGACCGGTAATACGTTACTTATTTGTCATCCGTGCTGTACAGTTCTACGTGCTGGATCAAACAGTAATCCTGACAGAGAGCAGTTGAAGATGTGTGTTAAGAAAGGCACAAGACAAGGGGAGAGAGATCTGATAAGATGAGATGGGACAGGATGGAGCGTGCAAATGGTGAGGCGAGAGGAAAGGAGAAGGGCAGCCACCTTTTGATCAGTAGCCGGGGAGAACATCTGAAGGGTAGGAAAGGCATGATCTACGTGTGGTTGAGAGAGAATGGCAAGGTGGGGAGAATTCTTTCCTTAGCTGTGCAATCTTGTCAGTCAAGTAGCATGCAAAACTATTGGCTGTAAGGTTAGTTTGCAGGGTGGCCACAGCAGGGCGAAGAAGAGAGTTAAAGGTGTCAAAGACACCTGGGATTGCGGGAGCATGAACTA